TTGGAAAAGAAGAAGTAAAACTGTCATTATTCACATATGACATCATATTGTACTTAGAAAACCCCAAAGATTCCATCAAAAAACTACTAGACTTAATAAATGAATTCGGCAATGTAGCAGGGTACAAAATTAACATCCAGAAATCTATGGCTTTTTTATACACCAATAATGAACTCACAGAAAAGAGCAACTAGACAAACAATCCCATTTACCATTGCAACAAAAAGATTAAGATACGTAGGAATAAACTAAGAAGGAAAAAGACCTGTACTCAGAAAACTCCAGGATGTAGAAGAAAGAGGTAGAGGAAGACATAAACAAATGAAGCATATTCTGTGTTCATGGATTGGCAAAATCAACATCATTAAAATGTCCATACTACCCAAAGCAATGTACAGTTTCAATGCAATCCCTATTAAAATACCAATGGCATATTTCACAGACCTAGAACAAACTCTCCAAAAATTCATATGGAATAAAAAGACCCCGAATAGCCGCAGGTATGTGCCTTGTCCCAGAATGGAACCGGCAACCTTTTGGTGCACAGGACATTGCTCAGCCAACTAAGTCACTCCAGCTGGCCCTGATTTTATTTTAGGCAGAGTATCTTGTACAAATTAAGCATTCAATAAATATCCTTTTTCTTTTTCCTTGTTCTGTCTACCATTACTATAACAAATCAGATTTCTGTAAAAAAAAGAAAGAAAGAAAGTTAACATTTTATATTACTGGTTACCAACTTTGGTTCCATCTTACTGTCCCAACATTTGTATTTTCCTGCAGATAATCAGTATTCAGTTCTTCCGTAGGTTAGTGTACTTTTGACAGCTAGCCTGGGAAATTAACCATCGCTTCTAACATTTTTCTGTGGTTAAAGCATTCTGAGTTTAAAAGACACAGAAAACTGTTGTTTTCAAATTTGCTTTCATCTAATGGTTCCTAGGTTACTTTAGTAAAGTGTTTATGTTATTATTATTAAATATGTTTTTAGAGGGAAAGAGAGAAACATTGATCGGCTACCTTCTATATGTGCCCCAACCGGGAATTGAACCTGCAGCCTTTTGGTGTCCAGGACTCCGCTCCAACCAGCTGAGCCACTTGGCCAGGGCCTTAACTTAATATTTAATGATGATCTTTTGAACCTGTGGTCCACTTTTTCATGATGATTTAATTACTTTGCACCCGGATTCGTCATTGCTGGGTTAAGGTGGCTGGTGGATACAGGAATCACTTGAGAAGTTAAAACAAGGGGAACAGAGGGGAGAGGATCTGGAAACAGTGGGTAAGAATCCAGTTTAGCAAACAGCAGTCGAGACTGGAGGACAGAACCAGGTGGACAGCCAGAGTCTTTGTAAACACCCATCCCAGGCAAAACCCTCCCTGAGTGTCTGTGAACGGCTGGGTTGAACAGCAACCAGGCAGCTGTAAAAGAACCAGGCGCCAGGGGGTCTGAGGTGAGGTGCCTGGGAGCCCCAGAGAGGGGCAGCGTCCCTGGGGCTCTGCCCGAGCCCAGGCCTGCGGTGGAGGCAGCTGGCTGCAGTCGGTCACATTCATCACAACTTCCCTTCACCCGGGTGCGCCGGCCTGACCTTCAGCTGCATGGGGCACTTGCGGGTGGTGCTAACCTTGGGAAAGCGTGAGGAGCAGTGGCCCTCTGACCACATGTGCTCTTTGGTTGCAGATCTGTTAAGCTCTGGAGTTTGGATGCCCTTCTTGTTTCCGTGCTTGTTGTAGGTAGCGTGGTTTCTTGTCTATAAATAAGGCCTGAGCAGTAGGCCCTCTTCCGTCAATAACAAGCAGTGTGATCTTGAGTGAGCAGTCAACACCGAGGCCGGACAGTAGCAGCCTGCCAGCTTCACGTGACTCAGAGTGTTTCTAAATAGTGGTGTGTTTTTCTCATGTTTAAAAATTAGGAGATTTCATTTTTTTAAATTAAGATTTTTTTTGAAAAAATGTCTCCACCAATAAGACAGTATATCCTGTGCACTTTTCCTCCCGGCAGTTCCTCACATCTGTGAGCTGCCTGGCCTTGGGAAGTAAGTGTTTGCCACTCCAGGCTCCAATTTCCTTTTATCTAAATTGGGAGTCACTGTACAAACGTACTATATATATATCTGTACTAATAAAAGCCTAGGTGGCGTCACACCCTCGCGCGCAACGTCGTCACAAGATGGCTGCATGCACAGTGGAGGCGTGGCCCCGCAGCTGCTCCGTGAGGTGAGGCCTGGGGGTACCACGGCTCCACACGGTGCAGAGGAGGCCGGTCCTGGCAGAGGAGGCGGGTCGAGGCACAGGAGGGCAGTTGTGGGCAATCCGGCCCGCAAGGGAGGACAGTTGTGGGTGATCGGGCCGGCAGGGGAGGGCAGTTGGGCCGGCAGGGGAGCGGTTAGGGGCGATCAGGCTGGCAGGCAGAAGTGGTTAGGGGCAATCAGGCAGGCACGAGACCATCAGGTCCTTGTCATGTGATCTGGCCGAGTGCCCTGACGGAATGATAGCTTGATTTCCCTGGGACTGGAGTGAGGGGTCCACTCCAAGGCAGAAGCCACAGTGCCTTTTATGATCTAGCCTCCAAATCACACTTGGCCATTACTAACTACAACATCAGTTGCTTACACAGAGGCACCTACTCATGGTGGGACCCGGGAGGGTGGAAATGCCAGGAGATGGGCATTACGGGCTGTCTTGGAAGCAGGCTACACAGCTGTTTAATGTCCCTCTTGTTCACCATTTGTTGCTTCCTATTTTTGGACAGCAGTGTGGAATCAGAGTGGCCATTCTATATGCATGGCTACTCATGAAAATAGACCAAAAGAATTTGAGACGCCACTTAGCTTCCAAATTGTCAGGAACACTGTGATGTTTCATAGAATTGCATTGATTTAGAGTTTACTGATTTGAGAATTTGTGTTAACAGAGAGCCATTTATAGGATTTTTCTTAAGCAACAAATTTAGAATACTAGTTTCATTTGGGGGAGGCCTTTTGACTAGGCAAGCAGGTGAATGGGTGTAAAATTTAAAATGATAGATTGTTAGCGAATATTTCTTTGATAGTTGTATCTTAGTTCTTTGAGGCTGCTATTAACAAAATACCAGACTGGGGCACTTAGAAACCTCAGAACTGTACTCCTCACGGTCTGGAGGCTGGGAGTCAGATCAGGGTGACGCCCTATGCTGAGGGCTCTCACCTGTGGGAGGGGGGCGGGTCTCTCTGGAGCCTCTTTTGTAAGCACCAGTCCCACCTATGAGGCTGCACACTTCACGGCTAAGTCACTCCCAAAGGCCTCGTGTACTCATACTTAGGATTTCAACATATGAACTGGCGGGGCACACCACATTCTTACCATAGCATTATGTAAATAGACTTATTATCTATTCGCATACAGGCATTCCTCAGCTGAATTTTGTTTGTTTTTTTCCTTCTCTTTCTCATTCTTATTCATTTTCTTTGGTTGTATTTGTCCCAACTGGATTTAAAAGCTACATTTTTTAAAGTTCATCACTAGGAATTAGGTTTTATTTCCTCACAGAAAAAATTGTTATATTATTGTCTTTTTTGAGTTGAACTTGTGTTCCAAGGCTAACCCACAATAATTTAATGTATTAGAGACTATTTTTGTTTTGGAAGTTGGAAGGAAATAATGCCATTGCAGTGTTAGTAAAGAGCAAAACCAAAGAAGTGCATTCTTGGGCAAGAGGAATTATCATTAATCTGGTGCTTAAGGAAAACTTTCTGTAATTTGAGAGGTCTTATTAGACAATTAGAGAAAATCGGAAAGAGGTCTCTGGATTTCATCGAACTAATTTACTTAAATTATGTGTACACACACACACACACACACACACACAAGCCCCCATTGGCCTCAAGGTATCCTTTTATTTGCTTTGTTGTTGTGTTTTTTGTTTAATTTTTGTTTAAGGGTGGTTTATTTGGAAGGAATCTGCTAGGAAGTCCCCAAGTAGAACGAAGATATCTAGTAAGTCCTAGAAGAGAAAGGAAGCGTGTTGGAAACTAGAAGAAAATGAGGAAATTGAAAAATTGAAGCAGGGGCTGGATTAAAATTTTTTTATTAAAAGATTTGTGCTCAGCTGGCGTGGCTCAGTGGTTGAATGTCAACCTATGAATCAACCTATGATTCCTGGTCAGGGCACATGCCTGTGTTGCGGGTTTAATCCCCAGTGTAGGATGTGCAGGAGGCAGCTGATCAATGATACTCTCTCATCATTGGTGTTTCTATCTCTCTCTCTCTCCCTCTCCCTTCCTCTCTGAAATCAGTAAAAATATTTTTAAAAAAATAATTGTTTTACTGTTTTTTCAAATAGTAATAAATTAGAAAGTTAATTGCTAGGTTGACGCTTAAAAGATGTAAATGTGGAGTAAGTAATATATAAACAAATAGAAAATGTTGAATGAGATTAGATCTTGTGGTTAATTCATGATAAATTATAATCTTGTATGAGTCAGTAATAGTATAATTAAAAATTTATCTGATACTGGATAACGAAGCAATTCTTGGAATTGAGTTATTTGTAGTGCTTCCTGTGGGTTCGTACACGGCTGCAGGTAAATGTTAGAAATTCTGAATAGTGAATCATAGTTTTGTATTCTTTTTAGAGTAAATGGGATGAAATCATATTGAGAAACAGGCTGTACATTGGGGAAATTTTCCATTTATGAGTCTTAAAAGTGAAAATTGATAAAATATTATCTGGAAGCTAAAGGGGACATGTCCTCTCAGTTTCAAAGATCCTTTCTGGGTCTTGGATTTTTATAATTTCTCTTAGTCCAGTGATATATTTATATCAGCTTTTTATCAATTATTTTAAAATTTCCTTTATATTGATTTAAGTTTGGTGAATCAGAGTCCATGTATAGTGGACTAACCACGAGAGTTACAATGAAACATAAGATATGGATCCGCACTTCAGAAGGCTCACCATTTGCGGTGGGAACAACTCATGTGTAATAAGTAATGGAGATAAAACTTACGTAACTTTTTCAGTGACTTCTTTTTGCTACAAAGAATTTAAAGTGTTTTATGTAAAGCTACAATAAGCGTTAGAATGGAATCTAATATTGGTGATATATGTGCAAATCTAATGCTTGCAGCCTCCTCCCGCCTTCCATATAGGAATTGAAAATGCCCTGCCCTTCAGGAAGGTTCTGAGTTGGAGAAGGACTTGTGCCTTCAGCCCTGGCCGCTGTGGCTCAGTTGGTTGGAGCGTGGTCCCATGCGCCGAAGGGTCGTGGGTTTGATTCCTGTCAGGGTACGTGCTCAGGTTTCGGGGTGCATGCAGGAGGCAGATCTGTGTATCTCTCTCTCCCTCCCTCCCTTTCCCTCTCCCTACCTCTCTCTAGAATCAATGAAAAGTATATCCTAGGGTGAGGATTTTTTTAAAAAAAAGCTGTGTCTTCAGATAGAATGAGGGTCAGGAAGTCCTAGCAAACTTAATGGGGGTGGGGTGACTTATTTAGAGGGATGCCAGTGAAATGCTCGAAGTTCCTAGAGAGGAGGAAGGGAGAATGATCCTGGTAAAATACTCTGCAACACCAGAAATGAGGAGACGGTGGAATAACATCTATAAAGTATTGTGGGAAAGGGACCGCAGACCAAAAACTGCATAAAACTGTATACATAGTAAAAAATGCCAGGGCAGAAAACAAGGCATTTTTGGAAAATGCAAGGAACACCAACTATGGATCTCGAATGCGAAAGACTCTACTTGAAGTGCTCTAGAAGATGAAAGCTGAAACGTAACGTTCTCCGGAAGATAAAGGAAGCAGTGGTGGTTTTACAGGAAGTCTGTACAGAACGATGAGTGGTTACGTCTACTGGGTGGCGTTAACCAAAATCTTTGTTCTGCTTTTGTGCCCCTTTCCACCCATCCCCGTCCCAGTCCACCCCCCGACCCCATTCCCCACACACCTCTGTACTGTCACTTCAGTGGGTGTTTAGGAAGCATGCGCACTGTCTAACATCCTGACCTAGAAAATCTGTTTTCATTTATTTATTTAAATCACTGTAGGGTTTGTTTGTTTGTTTGTTTAAATTGATTTTTAGGGAGGGGGAGAAACATCACCCATGTGAGAGCAGAGCATCACCTGGCTGCCTCCTGCCCGCCCCCTACTGGGGATTCAGCCTGCTACCCAGGCATGTGTTCTGACTGGGAATCGAACCGGCAACCTTTCGGCGCTCAGGAGGATGCCCAGCCCGCGGAGCCACACCAGCCGGGCTAGAAAATCTGCTTTTAAATTTCTCCACTTCCCGCCACAAACGGCTCATGTTGGTCACGGCTCTTATTGCAACAACAGAAACAGGCTGTGGCAGATTTAAACAAAAAAGGGATTCACTGGCAGGGCTGGGTGACGGGGGCCCTTGGGAAGCCTGGGAACAGGCTCCGTCGGCCGCTAGAAATGGTACGGAGCTTGGCAGCGACAGCACTGCATCTTCATGTGGAAGTAAATTGCCCTTTTCTTCCTTTCCAATGTAGGTTATATATTTGGGGAAAACTCCAGAAGAAGCATATTCAATATTAATGCTCGGCGATACATCCTACATTCCTTTCAGGTAAATATGAGATGATATGGTAGGTTCATTTAAGCAGGCCCTTGCCAGGAATACCGGGGTGCGGTGGTTTCTGAAAAAGGCAGACCTGGTAAACAGTCATGTTAGGGCGAGGGCAGGTAACCCGTAGACAAGCCTACTCAGTAGGTACACGGTTGGTCTTTTGTTGTGGGGCTGCCCCGTGTATTGTAGGGTGTTCAGCAGCATCCCTGGCTTCTGTCCACTAGATGCCAGTGACACCTCCACCCCCACAACAATTGTCAAAACTAAAAAGGTGCTCGGGCATTGCCGGAAGTCCTTGGAGTGTGGTGTGGATGGCTCCACTGAGAGCCACGCCCCTGACGGACCGTCAGAGGAGGGTCCTGACGTAGGGCACTCAAAGCTGACGCTGAGGAGTTTGGTTCCCGGGGGATTAAGAAATAAATTTTCCCACTAGTTAATTTCTGGGGTAAAAATGAACCCTTTTCTCCTGGGGACAAGGCAGCAGAGGCCGTGGGTGAGGCTGCTGACGTGACATCGCTACTAGAAAAACCACATGGCTGTGCGCAGAGCAGCTCAGTGAGCCATGTCTGTGCATGAAGGGTGACGCCCCCATTCTCCTCTCACACTTACTGTATGATTCTGTTGAAGAACTTTGGGAAAAAACTCTTTTCTTTAAATCAAATTAAGTTCTGAAAGTTTTTCTACCTGTTTACCAAAATATTTGACTTAACCATATAATCTAAATCAGTGGTTCTCAACCTTCTGGCCCTTTAAATACAGTTCCTCATGTTGTGACCCAACCATAAAATTATTTTCGTTGCTACTTCATAACTGTAATGTTGCTACTGTTATGAATCGTCATGTAAATATCTGATAGGCAGGATGGTCTTAGGCGACCCCTGTGAAAGGGTCATTTGACCCCCAAAGGGGTTGTGACCCACAGGTTGAGAACCGCTGATCTAAATACTTACATGGTGCTGAATGTGTAATAAATGTGTGGAATAATTTTGCTTGTTGCCAGCTGTATGGATAAGCGCAAGTATCGCATTATTCTCCCACTCGCAGGTCCGTAGGTTTAGGATTGTTGCGTAAACCTCAAGTGCCTGACTGTGAAGGCACGGCTTTCCCCTGAAACGGGAGGCTCCGAATCTGCCCTCATTGCGGACGAGCTTGGGGAGGCGTCTCCCTCAGGTTCGGCAGCACCTCCTCCTTCAGTGACTTTGCAGGGCCAGCCATGGACGTGCTCCATGGAATAGAGTTGTGAGGACAGTCTGCCGTCCGTTCCGACAGTGACCTGTTGCACTCAGCGCTGTATATTAGTGTCTTAGTAAAGTAGAAGAATTACTCTGAACCCAGTGCCACCCCTTCTTCCGAGCCCACCATCACCGTAAATACTGTTATTGGAAGGGGTAGAAAGGGATGATGTTCTTTTCTAAACTGGAAAGTGCTCCATTTTCCTTCTCCGCCTAAAATATAACGGCAACCATGTGCTTCGTTTAGAAAAATGCTTGTATTTTTGGTCCCTGAGTGACAGGCACATCGATAAACAGTGGTAATGGTGTTCTGCAGAGGGCTTCTTTAGCCTAGCCTTTGAGTGTTTATAAATGGAGTCATACAGTGTGCGTTTTGGAGAGCTGGGATCTAGCTTTTTAAACGCTACTTATGAAATTTGTCCATATTGTGGCAGGTATCTGCAGCTCATTCTTTTTCTTCTTACTACTTTCGTAATAGGAAGTAATGGAATAGCATTCCATTCAATGACTTTGTCACAATTTATTTACATTGTCCTTTTGATAGGTACCTGGGTTATCTGAGGTGTTGGGCTATTATGAATACAATATCCTGTGAAAGCTGTTACTCCTAAAAACTAGTACTTGACATTGTTTTGCAGTTTCTAAGCAAGACTCCATTGACTTGCATCCGATTTCCCAAGTTTGTTAAATGATCATAGTGCCAAGCCCCCTCTTCCCGCCAGGGCTCACATCCAGATTCGTAGCTGCCATGTGCTGTTTTGAAGAAGCCTGACTGTTTGGGTGGGGAAGGAGGTGTTGATGAAACAGACATGAGTGAACAAAGAAAGGTTCTGTTGGCCATTCAGACAGTGCAGCGTGTGAGGCAGAACTGTGCCGAGCCCAGGTGAAAGCTTGCCAGATCATCATTGACGAGAGCAGTGATGGCGAACCTATGACACACGTGTCAGAGGTGACACGCGAACTCATTTTTTTGGTTGATTTTTCTTTGTTAAATGGCATTTAAATATATAAAATAAATATCAAAAATATAAGTCTTTGTTTTACTATGGTTGCAAAGATCAAAAAATTTCTATATGTGACACGGCACCAGAGTTAAGTTAGGGTTTTTCAAAATGCTGACACGCCGAGCTCAAAAGGTTCGCCATCACTGGGCTAGAGCAAGGTTTGGCCCACAGTAGGTTCTCCAAAAACATGCATCGAATGCATGTATCACGTTGTCGCAAAGACTGAGTCAACATGCCTTCCCTGGATTGGGTAGGAGCTGTCAGTTGGTTAAGAAGATAGCATCCTGGCTGAGAAGGAGACACGGCTAAACACATAGGATGTCACGTGACAGTTCATCCTATTCCCACTGATAATTTTGATTTAGAGGAAACTACTTCACTTTCTTAACTAGCTTCTCTCCCTAAAAACATTCCTATTTCATGAGAAATTATTTCTATGAAACAAGTGTTTGTGTTGATTTTGTAGTCAGTGATCCTTAAACTGTACATCGCTCACGGTCACCTGCCCCACCCCTAGACCTTCTGACCCAGCAGGTCCGGGGAGCCTGGGACTTGGTGTTTCTGGCAGTTCGTGTAGCGCTGATGCCGCGGGTCCAGGGACCGCGCTCAGGATCGCTGCCCAGGCGCATTTTGCTTTTCTCCTTCCCGAATGTTGTCAGTGAGCTGTTGGTAAAACGCAGACCTTTTCCGGCTTTAGAAGAGCAGCTTTTAAATTCCGAAGCTTACAACAGAGCGGCACTTATAAGACCTGTGCGCCAGCCTGGTGCAGGCCCGCCAGGAGCTCTGACGCTGTGGGAGCTGAGAGGGGCGCCCTTCCTTTTCCTCACCGTCAGTTTAATGCTGCTCTAACCACCAACATTCTTAAGGTTTGGGCAAGAATTAAACAGTTTAAATGTGCAGTTTGATTTCTCAGGTCAGTAATGTTACAACTAAGGCAGGCAGTTGCCAGCTCCAGGAGCCACCGTTGCACAGAAGGACCGCCCGGATGTGCATGCCGAGAGGCACGGTGGTTTGGCATGTCTAGGATGAGCATAACCACATTGATTTTATCTTACTAATTCCCCGGAGCTGCGCTTTGCCACGGCTCCGTAGTTAGAAAGGAGAAGCGGGGGGCGGTGGAGGAGCGCCTTGTTTTTCTGGACAAGACCCTCGCCGCTGTGAGAGCCGTGTGGTGAGAGTGCTGCTGAGTGTCGGCGCCGCTCTGGGCCTAGTTGTCTGCAAACTGACGTTAGCACTTCCCAAGAGCAGAGTGATTCTGCTAAGGGTAGTTGATGCCCTAGTCCCTGGGGTTGAGTGGTACTGTGTTCCTTTAAGGATCAGAAAGAAATTACCCAGTTAAATTGTTAAAAAGTGTAAAATTGTAAAAGCATAATGAGAGGAGAAAAGTGTGTTTCAGTTTGCACCTAGTATCTCAGATACTACCTTCTTTTTTCTACTTGGATGGAGATATACACAAGTACACGTGCGCTTACATGCATATACACACACACACACACACACACGCACAGAGATACATATATACAGAATCAAAAAACAGTCTTTCCTGGTAACAGTTTGATACTGTATTTTCTGGTATGAAGAGAAAATTCATATACCTTGCCCTTTGGGGGCAGGGCTCCATATTGTTGATTGGTAACTCTCAAAGCTCAACCATCAAAGCCCAAGCTGATCCAGAGAGATCGTTCACAGTTTAGGAAGTGGCCATTATTGATCCCTGTTTATAAAACGGTATCTACTGGAGGAGGTAGAAACAGCAGTAAAATTTATATCAGTGACTTTTATTTAAAAACCAAACAACAAATATTCTTCTCTCCCCCTTGGATCTTGCTCTGAGTACGTGTTTGGTTTTAAATTGTAGTCAGCTTTGTGTTGAGTAAATGTACTGCAGAAAATTAACCGAGCTGCGCATTTCAATGCTCTTGGGATTTCAGAGACGCTGCCTATGGGAGCTGCAATTTCTACATTACCCTTCTGGACTGTTTCCACGCGGTGAAGAAGGTAGGTGACTGCGGACACCCCCATCGTTGTTCTGGGGAATGGAGCACCGCCCAGGGAAGACAGGTGTTCCCCCCAAAGACCTCCCACCATTTCCCCACTAACATGAGAAGGGCCCCCACTGGGGAAGTTTGTTCTGATCTGAGAGTGTCTGCATGAGTGGAGAAGCCACCTGAGCAACAGTGGACAGACAGTTAGGTAATTGGGTTCTAAATCCAGACTCGGCTTTGAGTGTGTTGTAACTTCAGAGAAAAACAGAATGGCAATAGATTACTGATTTCCAACTTCCCTTTGATTGCGTAAGATACATAAATAGGATTCCCACCAATCCTATTTACATGTTTATAGCACGTGGTTTTAAGTCTTCAGTCAATTTCCATTTCACAGGATTTGAATAGCCATTAGTTTGTATACTGATAGCCCATTAGTTAATATATAAAACCAAGTAGGTCACTACTGAAAAGCTGCTTTGAAGTAGCGCCTGTGTTTTATAACCAGGCTGCTTGCTTTTCTTTGACACCAGGGGATACCCTGCATATCACATTCCAAAAGAACAGGGTCCCTGGAGTTAGGGGCACAGCGGACCCGATTGTAACCCTCACTCTCTTGGATGTCAGGAAGCAAAAGAAGCTAGAACTTGAAGTCACTGAACTATGGCTCAGTGGCCTCTCGAGTGTTTATGGGATTGTATTTCCAGAGGCAAAAGCAACCCAGCTTGACTCTCTTGTATGCTGAAATATGGTGGCTTTTGAGAGTTTTGACAGAAATGTTGTGGATTAAGATGAGAGGGCTAATTAGTATACAAAGTCAGAGGTTGGTTAGTCTACCTTTTCATTCTTTTGGGGTTGAGTCCAGCGCCTCTGAGGGGTGGAGGTGACTGAGGCAGCTCCCCGGCCTCGGTGTCGGCAGGTGATGGGCTCCGTCGGGAGAGGCGGCATGGCAGGCCTACATGATCCCTCCTGACTGAGTTACTGCCCATCAGATGGACCCAGGAAGCTGCTAATGTTGGCAGGTGCACGGTCAGGAACCTGGGTCTCCCTTTTCTCATCTCCCACCACTTTTCAAAAAATAGCAGAAAAACTTTGAGGGCCTGGGAAATGGTCTGTAACAGTGAATAGCTGTCTGTCATTAATTCTTGCCTTAGTTTTTTTTAAATATGTTTTTATTGGTTTTTAGAGAGAGAGGAAGGGAGCGGGATAGAGGCATAGAACATCAACGAGAGAGAAATTTCATGGATCAGCTGCTTCCTGCACACCCCCTACTGGGGATTGAGCCCAAAACCTGGGAGTCGAATGGGTGACTTTGTTTCTGGGTCATAGCTCAACCATTGAGCCATACCGGCCGCACTTAGTTTTTTTTTTTGTTTTGTTTTGTTTTTAGTCAGATCTAATTAGCAACTGTAAGTCAAAGATTGCACTTTTCACACTACATTTAATTTTATTGAAGTCAACAGCTTCTGATTTTCAACCTAAGCATTTGTTTGTGACTGATTTAGAATATTGTGTGCCTGAAACATTTAAAATGCTACTAGTGCTACTTCTAATGGGATCTCCTTATGAAATTCAAAGAATAGAAATTTCCTATAAACTTCATCTTATTGTATCATTCTGTTAAGAACATCTCTAGTCCAAATACCATGACATGTATTGAGAATTTTGAATTCAAGGAAATAAAATTCCTCATGGATTTGGTCTTGGAGCTAGCATTTAAATAACTACACTTCATAAAATGAGGCCTTTTTCTTGGTATTGTAGCTTTCATATTTTTCATTTATAGTTCAGTACTTTAAATTTTGAAAACTGGGTTTGTAAAAGTCACCACTGTTTTTTTGCTGTTTTCCATTTTTTTAATTACATTTATTGGGGTGACATTAGTTAATAAGATTACCTTGTTGATCAAGAATTCTAGCTTACATACTGTCTGGCTCCGAAACTACTTCTTGGAAGCTGCCAGCTCGCCCTTGCCTCAGAGTATAGATCCTTTGCTCATTTCACTTAGCATGCTCTGCCCACTGCAACCCAGAACGGAAAACCTACGTGTGTGGTTTTTTTATTGAAAGAAGACATTTTTCTCCTCAAAATTTTGAATTTCAGTGTTTGATCTCTGGGCTGTAGAGGGAACATTAATCTCTTAACCCAAGAAGAATTTGAAAGTAAAAATATTTCTGAAGTGTGTGGGATTCGTTTGTGACAAACTAACCTTTCTTTCCTCTATTATCTGTTTAGGGGCCATTGAGTTTTGCATTATATTTGAAGCCTGAGTGGTGTAGATCTAATAAGTGGGATTACTTTGAAGGATTGATTTTTTTTAGCTCTGCACAGATAGGATGATTGTGAAGGAAGATAAAATATCAAATCTCATTAAAGTAAATATTGATGTACTAGTAACTAGTTAGAACTAGTTGGGAGCCTTTATAAGACTTATTCCACCTCTTTAGAAAACTATTGAGTGGAACGTAATCTGAATATAATAATGGTTTTTGGAGGGTGCCTCCTGATATTAGGAAATTGGATTGGAAATCATTTACTCTTTGCATCTTTGTTCTTAAAAGCTTTCCTTTGGATTTCAGGCAATGCAGTATGGCTTCTTTAATTTCAACTCATTCAGACTTGATGAATACGAACACTATGAAGTAAGTTTTCAAGTACATTGATTTTAATTCTGCTACTTATGTTTTCCTTACTGAAGTATCACTGTTTTACAAACACTGAGCAATGTGGGTGTGTGTAGGGTATGAGGGAGTCCCGCGTGATCCTCGCACGCAGCCCAGTTCCTCATGGGCAGCCCAGTTCCTCATGGGCGTCTGCCCTGGTGGTGCCTCCTTCCAGAGGGAAGGCCGTGCTCCCGCTGTTTCCTTAGCTTCAGTTTAACCCTTTGCGGTCGTTTGTCTACTCTCAGCCACCAAAGCTTTTTTACCGTTCCGGTCGTATGTCTGCTCTCAGCCACCACAGCAAGGAACCGCACGAATCTTAACTCTATTCATTCATGTATCAGTTCATAATTTCTCTGAAAGCTCTTAAGTGTCTAAGCGACCTTGTCACGAACCAAAACATTGCCTCGACAAATCGGAGATAGCGAAACTCAATATAAACAAACGCGGTCGTTCCACACTCGCCATGCAAAACACCGTGGCGAGTCAGTCGCCTTTTGAGAGTGAAGAAATCGACAAGCTTCGGAGATACTTCGCAGAATTTCAAATAAAGCTTTACAAATTACATTTAACTGTAATTAGGCATTCTCGCTTGTTAAGATATTTCAAAATAATACTCCAAAATGGCAAAAAAAAGTTACCGAAAGAAGTGTACTGCGAATCTGAAAGTAACGATGAAGAGTTTTATTTTGGCACCTTGAATACTGACTCTGACATAGAAAGTGATAACGTTTGTAGTGATTCTACTAGTAGTGACGTAGTTCCAAAAAAGAATTAATAAATCTTGTTTATCCTTCATAATCTTGCATGTTATGTATCACTGCTCTTTCAATGGAAATTAATTCCGAGCAGTACGACACCCATGTCCAAATTTAATACGACCGCAAAGGGTTAAACATCTTTAGTAATGATGACTTCATCTGGTGCTTAAATGAGACCATGTTTGTAAAACCCTTAGCACAGAATCTGATGAGATGAATAGATAGCCATGGCATCATCTAACCAGCCGTGGGCAAACTACAGCCCGCAGGCCGGATCCGGCCCGTTTGAAATGAATAAAACTAAAAAAAAAAAAAAAAGACCATACCCTTTGATGTAATGATGTTTACTTTGAATTTATATTAGTTCACACAAACACTCCATCCATGCTTTTGTTCCGGGCCCTCCGGTCCAGTTTAAGAACCCATTGTGGCCCTCGAGTCAAAAAGTTTGCCCACCACTGAATAGCCTCTGGAAAATACGTTTTTATCACTACCGTTTGCAGAAGTCAGGACACTTCTGCTTGTGAATTTCACAAAGTAAACACATATGGCTTAAATAAAAAAGGGAAGATTTATTGATGTTCATACGTAAAAGGCCAGGAGCAAGTGTGCCATCACACACCACCAGACTCAGGTACTCACTCACCAGAAACGGTGCTGAAGGAGCGCTGTGTCCCGGGCTGGCCCTCAGGAGTGGTAACCACCAGCCACTGTGACGCTCCCAGTTGCCGAACTCACCAGCAAAGAGCATCCAGGCTCCAGCGGGAGACCGAAGAGATCCTCTCCTTGGCCTGGCTTAGATCGTATCCCTCGCCCTCAACCAGCATGTTCCCAGCAGGGGAGGGGTCGGTGGGGGAGCATACTAGCTCCCCCAGGAGCTGGAGTGCTGGGCCGGCCCTATCAGCCACACAGACCAAAGAAAGAAGAGTCCAGGCAGGCGAAACCACAGGTGTCCTCACACTGAAATGCAGTGTATTTCTTTAAAGAAAAGTAACTTGATTCTACTGTTTATCCCACCCTCCAGATCGATAATGAGTAAGATGCTTACGCTGAAGGTCTTTCCCAGCCAAGAATGCTGTGGGGTCTGATCTTCTTATCTTACTGTAGTTACCTGGAGCAGACATTGTCCCTGGTAATCGGTGATTTCATGCAGCATTTTATGCAGCAATATCTTGAATCCTCACGTAACTGTTCTTTAACAGTTAATTTCTAATTATTGTAAACTCTTAGGCATAACTAAACTGTTGTATTGATGGGTAGGGTTAGTAGCTACAATCAGTCATTACCGAGATGTGCCCAAAATGTAAGAGCAAAATGTGCGATTTCTTAGGGTGCATCCTGTCTTTATTCTCTGTTAGAGCAATTCATTTCTAAAGTACAATATGTATTTCATTGCCACCTTATACTATCGACTGCAACTTAATTATTACACTTTTCTGGTGCTTGTCCTTATAAAATTAAACATTTATTTTTTTAATATTTTATTGATTTTTCACAGAGAGGAAGGGAGAGAGATAGAGAGAGTTAGAAACATCGATGAGAGAGAAACATCGATCTGCTGCCTCCTGCACATCCCCCACCGGGGATGTGCCCGCAACCCAGGTACATGCCCTTGACCGGAATCGAACCCAGGACCTCTCAGTCCGCAGGCTGACGCTCTATCCACTGAGCCAAACCGGTTTCGGCTAAAATTAAACATTTAAAATAAAATATCTTTCCTATGGAAGCAGAACTCCTAAACCAGCATTCGATGTTCCTTCTGTGCGGCACAGCCTCGCCCCGTGTGCCCCTCGGGAGCGACGCCGGCACTCGTTGGCTTCTCTCACTAACGCAGAAATGCCGGTGCTGGCAGGGAGCAGAGGTCACCACAAGTGTGTTTACTTTCAGTGAAATTGCTTTGAGACACGGGGACTATTCAGGCAGCTCCAGACAGGAGCTCACAGGCTGGTTTTGTTTGGTCTCCACAGTGTATTTAGAAATGTTGGGTTAGTGTTTCATTTCTTCCTTGATCCCTCCCTCTTTCCCCCCCCTCCCCCCCGTTTTTACTTCTCTGAATTCAGGATGCATTTTATAATCACCTATGATTCAATGGAATCTAACTGCAGGTTTCTTGTTAAAAAAAACTTCAGATTTCTGTCTTCACTTGAAAATCAGAATACTTGGCAACACTTTCCTCATTCCCATTTAGGCCTGTTAGCATGGAACATGGGCTCGCCAGTTCTTCTCCGTGATAATTAAGTAACTTGGTTTTAGGTTATGGGCCTGGCCTGTGATGTTCAAGCAACTCAGTACATTTCTTACTTAGTCTTAGGTTCACATATACACGCCCAGCAAAACTAACTGATCTTATTTTTATCATTAGTTTTCTTCTTCGATCTCAAGTGTCTCCTACTTTCTGCTCAAGTCCTTGTGTAATCATTTCTATTGTTGTTAAATTTGAATTCTATTTATCTTATAATAATTGTTATGGAAAGGACTTAATAACAGGAAGTAAAGTGTTTTAAATTTCAGTTTTTTTCTAGAGACCTTCAGTGATCTTAGTATACTTACAATTTCAAATTTCCTGGTGGTTTAGTAAAAAATTTTCAGCGACCTTCTTATTAAATAGTTAGCAACATGATGCAGACATGTTTCTACAAATAAAAAGTAAATATCGAAAGTCCCAGAGCCTGAATAGATACTTTTTTCTCCTTTGTTCAATGAGTCAAGATTGCTCATATTGGAAGCCAGTTAGTCATTCAGGGAAATGGAAGTTTCCAGATCACTCCTAATGGAAAAGTTTACTTTTATATTAATTAGTAGCAACTATATGAGAATTTACTTGGATAAAATCATCAAAGTGCTTAGGTATATTTTAGATACCAGCAGTCGGTTGCTTTCTGAAGGCTGACTACCCAAGCAAAAAACACTTAAGAGAAAGCGATTAGGACCAGAAAAAGTCAACTGACTCTTCTCTAGAATATTCAGAGCAGGCTCAAATTTAGTGTCCTGCCTCATCATTTATAAACAGCATTTGTGCTAAAGCAAATGGATTTGAAGTTCAGCAGGCATTCAATATTGAGAAGGGGTGTGGAGAGATTAAGTCTAAAAATGAATCATGCTGGTCTCTTTGCAGAAAGCAGAAAATGGAGATTTAAATTGGATAATACCAGGCCGATTCATTGCCTTCTGTGGACCTTATTCAAGAACCAGACTTGAAAATGGTATGCAAAAATATGGGACCCGGGTAGTTTTCTTATTAAAAGTATCCATCTTTTTTTTTCTTTTTCTTTTTAAGAGGCCTAAGAGTTTAACTAAGGTACTTGATCATTTCAGTACATTATTCTGCCTGGATTTAACTTTATTTAATTTATTTTTTTACACTTATAATCAAAGTAGAGGCCCGGTGCATGAAATTCATGCACAGGGGCCGGGGGGGGGGGGGGGGGTGTTGTTCCTCAGCCGGGCCTGCACCCTCTCGCAATCCAGGACTGCTGGCTCCTAACTGCTCACCTGCCTGCCTGCCTGATAGCCCCTAACTGCTTGCCTGCCTGCCTGCCTGCCTGATCACCCATAACTGCTCGCCTGCCTGTCTGATCGCCCATAACCACTCTGCCTGCCTGTCTGCCTCATCACCCCTAACCACTCTTCTGCCTGCCTGATCGCCCATAACTGCTCACCTGCCTGTCTGATTGCCCGTAACCACTCTGCCTGCCTGCCTGCCTGATCACCCATAACTGCTCACTTGCCTGCCTGCCTGCCTGATCCCCCCCTAACCACTCGCCTGCCTGCCTGATCTCCCCTAACTGCCTCTGCCTCTGTCCCCGCTGCAGCAGCTTCATCCAGAAGGACGTCCGGCTGTCTGGTCTAATTAGCATATTATGCTTTTATTATTGTAGATTGGTATTCAATGTCCAGTCTAGACACTGTTTCCACACAATTACAGATGAAATTGTTACCATTGTTTTCCTTCTGCATTTTACAGCGTTTGGTAATTTCTTCATGTAGGTTACTACCAGCATTCTCCTGAGGCTTACATTCCCTATTTTAAGAATCACAACGTTACTACCATTATCCGTCTGAATAAAAGGATGTATAATGCCAAACAATTTACGAATGCTGGTTTCGATCACTATGATCTTTTCTTTGCGGATGGCAGCACCCCTACTGATGCGATCGTCAAAGAATTTCTGGATATATGTGAAAGTGCCGAGGGCGCCATTGCAGTGCATTGTAAAGGTATGTCTGTAGGGCTGGTTAACGAGTGGTGGGCATGTGTGTGTACATGTGTGAGTATGTTTGTGTATATACCATGGTCATTAGATGATGTGCTAGGACACACGAAGCTGCTTTTGTGGTTACAGAAGGTTTTTTTTTTTTTTAAGTTGCTTGTTTTTAGATTTTTTTAATTGATTTCACAGGGAGGAAGGGACAGGAAGAAAGAGATAAAAACATTGATGATAGAGAAACATCAATCAGCTGCATCCTGTATGCCCCCTACTGGGGGTCGAGCCCAAAGCCCGGGCATGTGCCCTGGCATGAAATGGCACCCACCAGCTTTTGGTGCCCGGGAGGGGGTGCCCAACCAACTGAGTCACATTGGCTGGGCATAAGTTGCTTTTTTCTTAAACCCACTTTATTGTGGTTTTATTGACATAAAAAAGCTCTACATATAAAGAATGCTTTAAAACCCTAATTTCATATGAAAAGTATAGCAAGTTAAATTGTGTTCATAGCCTTACAAAGGCTTATCACATGGAAATGTATTCATTTATTCATCACATAATCTGCTCCATGCCTGCTGTTCGGTAGGCTCTAGGGTATGTCAGTGAGCAGAGCAGACAGATTGTTTGAAGAAATAATTGCTGAAAGTTTCCCAAATTTGAAGAAAGACATGAATGTAAACATCAAAGAAACTCAGGGAGCCCCAAGCAAGATAAACTCTGAGACCCACACCCAGATGCATTATTATCAATCAATCTAAAGTCAGAGGCAAAGAGAATCTTGGAAACAGTAAAACAGAATCAACTTACCACATTCAAGGGACTCCAGTAAGATGTCAGTAGATTTCTCATCGGAAGGTTGATCTATAGGAGTGATTCCCAAAGTGGGCGCTGCCGCCCCCTGGTGGGCGCTGCAGCGATCCAGGGGGGGGGGGGGGGCGGTGATGGCCACAGGTGCATTTGTTTTAACTTTTTTTGTATTACCTTTCTATTCTGAGTTCAATAAATAGTTTCATAATTTCAAACTTCAATGTTTCTAATTTACACCTTTCTTTACTATATTTTACGAAAAAGGTAGAAACATTAATACATATATCTTTCTGTTTAATTGCTATTAAAATTTTAAAAAAATTAATTTCCAGGGGGCGCTGAGTAATATTTTTTCTGGAAAGGGGGCGGTAGGCCAAATAAGTTTGGGAACCACTGATCTATAGGGTGTCCCAAAAAATGTATACACAATTTGAATGATTATAAAGTCAGTTTTTATTAACATACAGTTCATTTTTAAAATTTAAAAGAAGCTACAGAATGAATAATATTTTTTGTCAACCCCTGTTTTCAAACTGATGACTGTTCTGGTCCAGGCACTGCTAATAATGTGAAGCAATGGAATCACAAACATCAAGAATCATTTTGTTCAGTATTTGTGTGCCCTTGATTTGTCAACTGTTTCTGGTTTTGTAACATAAACTTTATATTTTATGTATCCCCATAAAAGAGTCTAGTGGATAATTTTTCTTTGTTCAAAGCTTAGTCTGGCCTTACCCGTTATTTTAAATCAGTTAAACCTAAAAAGGAATGAAAATGAAGTGAGTTATCAGCTGTTAAAGTGTGCATACATTTTGGGGGGACATAGGGTGTACACACTGCAAATAATTATAAAGGCAGAGTTTGTTCTTCAACTGTGTTTTCCATTTTCCAGTAGCATTTTAGGATGAAATTCCTTTGTTCAAAGCTTACCTGGCTGAAGAGAAACATCAACTGAGCTCAGCTGTTAGTGTGTGCGTGTTTGGGGACATTTGGTAGTCAGTGCTGAAGGGAAGAGTCAGCCGCAAATCCTGCATCTGGCTAAACCTTTTCTCAAAAATGGGGTGAAATTAAGACATTCCCAGATAACTAAAAGGTGAGGGAGTTTGCTACCACTGGGCTTGACGTGCAAGAAAAGCTAACAGTTGAATGGAAGGACACTAGCTAGTCACTAGAAGCTATCTGAAAAATACAGATCTCTGGTCAAAGTAAATGCATTGGACACTTATAATGGCTGATATTACTGTTACTTAAGCTGTAAACTCTCTAATCAAAAGATGAGATTGGGAGAATGGTTTAAAAAATAAAAGAGAATCAATTTTAGATTCAAAGACGCAAATAGATTGAAAGTGAAAGGATGGGCAAAGGCGATTATACTGATATCAGACAAAAGAGACTTTAATGAAAGGTTATGAGTCAAAAAGGGGCATTATATATTAATAAAGATTCAATACGGTAAGGAAGATAGAACACTTACAAACATTTTACATGTCTAATAGACCTTCAGAATATGGGAAAGAAAATTGGACAGAATTGAAGGGAAAAATAATTGTCCAATACTAGTTGGAAATGTTAATATATCCCACTTTCAATATGGGTAGAAAAACCAGACAGAAGATAAGTAAAGAAATGCAGGACTTGACCACCACAATAAACCAGCCACATCTCCGAGCCTAGGAGCACCCTACCCTGCCCACCAACGGAAGCGCTGTTGTCTCACGTACACGGGGGACATTGATGATGATTGCACAGCAGTGTGAGGTGTTTCAGTGCCACTGGATTGTACACTTGCAAACAGTTAAAACCATCTCCAGAAACTGGCCCCAAAGAAGCATAGGTCTTTGAATTGCCTGACAGAGAATCTAACATGGCTGTCTGAAACGCTCAGTGAGCTAAAAGGAAACTGAGAAGTAAATGAAATGAGGAAAATGATACAGTGGGGCCTTGACTTAGGAGTGTCCCGACTAACGAGTTTTTTGAGATACCAGCTGTCTCTCGGCTGATTTTTTGCATTGAGTTGACAGAGTAATTTGAATTAACGAGCTCCTTAGTGAGCTCGGTCTCAGAACGAATTAAATTCGTAAGTCAAGGCCCCACTGTACATCCACAAAAATGGTTAAAGTGGAAAGTTTTATGTTATATGCATCTTATCACAACTTTAAGTAATGAATAATTTAAACAAAATTCAGCATGGGTTATTTCATGTTTTAAAAATTATAATAAGCAATATAACCTGAGGTGTTCCTTTGGGGTGGTTTGTGGTCCCCAGGTCATTTGGCAGTGTCACAAGGCATTCTTTTGGTTTTCACAACTAGGGGGAGGGGTGTTCCTGGGACAGAGGACTTCAACATACTATGGATTTGGGGGGAAGGAGGGAGAGGAGACACATAATTCAGTCCATAACATTCTACTCTCTGGCCACCCAGTACTCACATTCTCACACATAAATATGACCATTCACTCCATCCCAACAGCCCCCAGAGTCTTAACACATTCCGTGGTCAGTCCAAGTTGAAAGTCTCAGGCCGATCGTCTAAGTCAGCTCTGGGTGACATTCGGAATTCCTCCCCAGCTGTGAGCCTGGGACAGCAGACCAGTCATGTTCTTCCAAAATGCAGTGGTGGGACAGGCATTCGAATTCCGAATGGGAGGAATTAGAAAGAAGAAACGGTGACAGTCTAGACCTCGCAGAGCAAACGCCCTAAATCTTTCAGCTTGAGACGAATGCTCTTCTTTTTCTTTTAATTCTTTCAAAATGTTTTATTTCCATCATTAAAGTAAAATATTGCCAGCAATAAAATTGGAAACCACCAAAAAGTAAAGGGAGTAAAATCAACCATAATCTCAGCATAACAGTGCAACTGCGTTTTATAGATTTATTTCCAGCCTTTTGTTCATCTGTAGGCCTCTGTTTTTGCGTTACAGAAAACCATGCTGTAAACACAGTTCCGCACCCTGTTTTCTCACTCAGTTGTGCAGGGTAGGCAAACCACAGCCCCGCAGACTGTACCTGGCCCACTGCCAGCTTTTGTGCATGAAATGAAGCGGGTTTTACATTTTAAATGGTTAGACAAAATCAAAAGAGGAGTAATTTTTGGTGACATGAAAATTATATGGACTTCCAATTTGTGTCCATAAATTACGTTTCATCAGAACACAGTCATACATATTTATTTATATATTGTCTATGGCTGCTTTTTGCTAAAACAGCAGAGTTGAATAGTTGTAAAAGAAACGGAAAAATTTTGTCAACCTCTGAAATACTGTATCTGAATCATGCTATTCAATTGGCTGCTAAATCTGTCCTTTGAAACTTAGCACACTTTAGGTGCTTAATAAAGGAATTTCTTCCAAACAATTCCGGGAGGGAAGGGGCTAGGACAGCCGTGGGCAAACTACGGCCAGCGGGCCGGATCCGGCCCGTTTGAAATGAATAAAACAAACAAAAAAAAAAAGACCGTACCCTTTTATGTAATGATGTTTACTTTGAATTTATATTAGTTCACACAAACACTCCATCCATGCTTTTGTTCCGGCCCTCCGGTCCAGTTTAAGAACCCATTGTGGCCCTCGAGTCAAAAAGTTTGCCCACCATTGGGCTAGGAGGAGGAGGAGGAAGAGGGTTAGTGATGTTTAGACATGTCTCTTTTCAGGCATCTGCTGGACTTGTTATTCCCAACCAGGGGAAAAGACATCTTCTCCCTGGTCAGTAAGAAGAAAGATGTCTTTCGTCAATCTTTCACGGCTAAATAACAGCTTCTTAGTGTCCTTTGAAAATGTTATTTGAGACCAAAATGATCTTGTTGCCATCACATGAGTCACATCTAATTTTCCCTTAGCTGCGCAGAAGCTTTGGTGAATTTTCCCCGCTTTGGCTTTGGGAAGCTATTCTTTTCCCTTTTTTTATTAAACTTATTGGGGTGACATTGGTTAAACTGATCATATAGGTTTCAGGTGTGGGTTCCTGTGTTACAAGATCTGTGTACTGCATTGTGTGTCCACCACCCGGAGTCAAATGCGAAGAATACTGTCTGGCTCCATTATCTATTCCGGAGGCCCGCAGGGGAGACAGGCCCGCCTCCTTGGCTCTGGTGGTGGCCTTGTCCCTGACGTTATGGACCGTGTAGCCTGGTCCATGCCCCTGGGCCTGGGTGGTGGCAGCCGTGCCCACCTCTGTGTCTATTTCTGGCTTCTGGTGGTTAAATCCATGGGTAATGTCTACGGAGTTGCATGTTCAGCCACACCATTGGTGTTGTCTTCAGAACATGTGTGCTTGCTTTCCGCAGTATGGATAGGCCTAGAATTTTCAAAATGTTTAGTTTCTGGTTCCTTTTTGTTTAAAAAGGTCTTGGATTCATCTCCCTCCGCTCGTATTTTACGTGTTAGTAAGGAGACCCCCGGCTGCACCTTCAACCCTTCGCGCACGGATGATCTCCTTTGCTCACAGTTTTGCTTTCCACAAAGCCTGCGGACACGGTGCAGCCAGGCATATATATAAATAAATATGCCTCTTTCTAACCAGGATGGCCTTTCTTCTAGTTTCCAATAACACGGTCTTCATTTCCACCTGTGTCTGCTCCAGAATCCGTGCTAACGTGCATATTCCTGCCGACAGCTCCTTCAAGGCAGTCTGGGTGTTTTCTTACAGGAGCCTTGAAACTCCTGCAGCCTGTAAATTCCAGTGCCAGAGCCACTCCCGCGCCTTTACGTATTGTTATGGTTATGGTACCAAATCTGTAGCAACGAGGGTTTTCCAGAGAAGCAACCAATAGGACATGTATGATGCATAGAAGGAGATTTAGGGTAAGGAATTGGCTCACACACAAGGGTGGCTGGCAGGCTGGAGACCCAGAGGAGCCAGTGGTGCGTGAAGGCTGGAGGCGGTCTGCTGGAGAGCCCCTCCTAGCTTGGGGAGGCCACTCTTTTTGTTCTGTTCATGCCTTCAACTGATTGAATGAGGCCCACCCACATGGAGGGTAATCCACCTACTCAAAAGTCCACTATTCTCACCCAAATACACCTACCAGGTTGACACATAAAATTATCATCGCAGGGTGAAATAGAGTAGTTTAGGCGAGAGTCAAGGAGGAATAGAGTTTTTAAAAAATCATGTGAAAACGAGTAGAAAAGTACAGTAGAAACGCTGGCGAATGAAGGGGAAAGTTTTGCAAGATTTTAAGCCTGTGTTTTGGGGAATATGATTTTATCATTAAGAGAAAACTCAGAGTAGAAGCACTGTACTTACTGAGAGTCGTCACTTAGAAAGCGATTTTCATTCTTGGCTGTGTGTAGAGTCATTTGGGGGGTTTTAGGAATCTCTGTCGAGGCGGCATTGTGGGACCATTAAATCAGTTCTCTGGAGGTGTTCTGAGACCTCTCCAGGTGATGGCAGTGCGCGCCCGAACTCCAGGACCGCTGTTTGGGGAGGCAGGCCCGCCCCTCGCAGCAGGGACCAGGTCTGATTGGCTTGTTTCCCGTCCTAGCTGGCCTTGGACGAACGGGCACCCTGATAGCCTGCTACATCATGAAGCATTACAGGATGACCGCGGCCGAGGCCATCGCCTGGATCAGGATCTGCAGGCCTGGCTCCGTGATCGGGCCTCAGCAGCAGTTCTTGGTGACGTAAGTAGATGGAAGGCTTTGGCGGTTCCTCGGGAACGCTGGGTCTGGCTACTGATCGGAAGTAGACGTCTTAGTCTCCGTAACGACAGACGGTCTAGGAGGATGACCTTGTTCGTTTGTCTCTTTCTCAAAAAGTGTATTTTGATGCTGTTTAAATGCTCTGACAGGAAACAGTCAAACCTCTGGTTGGAAGGAGACTATTTCCGTCAAAAGTTAAGGGGTCAGGAGAACGGCAAACACAGAGCAGCTGTCTCAAAGCTCCTCTTGGCTGTGGACGACATTTCACTCCATGGGGACAAGCACCACGACGACGAGCAAGAACCTGAGCTGGTAATGGAACCATCCTCGTCACTCTGTTGCTATTTCTTTAAATGCCGTTGAGAACCTTTCAGGGCGCGGAGGAAACTGCAGACCGAGTAATAAAGCACATTTTGAGGGATTATTGTCACATTTTTTATACGTAGAGTCCTCTCTAGGAACTTTCTGCTAAATAGTTAGAACAAGGCGATGTGTCCATGACACTGGAGTTCTTACACACTGGGCACTGGTGGGAGGGGATGCGAAGGAAGCGCTGTCGGTGGCCCTAGTGACCCCCTTCCCGACACCTTGCCCATTTGTGACAGCTGACCTAGGGACCGGTCGTTCCCACGTGGGGAACTGTAGAGAACCAAGCGTTTAGGGGTAGCTGTCCTGTGTTAAGCGATGGTAAGTAGATGGTGAAATGTTAAAAAGCATGTTTTCAATATTGAAAGCCCATTATGCCTCTTCACTGTCAGTGTTTTATAGCAGGAGCGCCATTAGCTTCTGTGTCTGTGGAAGTGAAGGCTGGGTGTCGTGCAACGTGACCTGTAGCTTTATTTCAAAAGCAGCGGCTATTTTAGGGCTCAGCCGGAAGCGGCGTGCGTGCCCCGGGGATGGGCGTAGCTGCTGTGCTTTGCTGCGTGAGCCAGGCAGCCGGGCGGTTGGCTCAGTGTGTTTTTGCTTGTACAGTACAGCGACGACGACGAAGGCTACGGCGTGACGCAAGGAGATAGACTCCGGGCCCTGAAAAGCAGAAGACAGTCAAAAACGAGCGCGGTGCCCCTCACGTGAGTCCGGGCTCCTGGCGGGGCTGGTGTGATCTCGTGCGTGTCTGAGGCCTTCGGGAGCATTTGTCCGGTACATTTCCTCCGTAGTTGCATGTCCCTTGGGCCACTTGGAAATGATTCTAAATTATTTTAAATCGAGTTATTTTAAATAGCCTACGAAGCTCCAGGCTATCCTCTGTTTATCTCCGTCTCCATCCTGACCCTCTAGCCTGTGTATAGGAAAGCTTTAGGAATGCTTTTCCTCTGGAATCATCTCTGGACATCCTCAGGGTGTCAGACCAAGTGTAAACCACAAACAATAGATTTGTCCATAATTATTAAAAATGGTGAGTATCCTTAGACTCACTGCTATGGTGCAGGTAATCTCTTCTACTACGGTAGAATTGAATCCGTGGTGACATGGTGGCTTAATGTCATCATATTACTTGAGGGCAACAATAGATCAAACTATATGTTTTATTTAACTTTTTTGTTTGAGGAATTATATTCAAGTTTCAGAAGAAGGTTTAGCGTGGGAATAGGAAGTATTAGAGTCAGTGAGTGTGTGTTTGTCCACTTGTTGTTGCTTGTGTAAGTGGTAGTTTGGATAAAATCTCGCAGAACATCCAGTATGATTTTTTTTTAAAAAGTAGAATAAAAAACTTAGCCATCATACTTTTTTCCCTAGGGTATTCTCTTTTTTTTTAAATCCTCAACTGACGATAAGTTTTTTATTGATTCTAGAGAGAGAGGAAAGGAGGGAGGGAGAGAGAAGAAGAAAGAGAAACATTGATGTGAGAGAGAAACATTGGTTGCCTCCTGTATGCATCCTGACCAGGAATTGAACCTGCAGACTAGATATGTGTCCTGAGCAGGAATTGAACCCTGCAGCCTTTTGGTGGACGGGGCGATGCTCCAACCATTTAGCCACCCGACCAGGGCTGTAGGGTATTCTTCAGTAGATGCTCCCACCTGTGACACTGGACTTCGTCCTTCCGATAACCTCTCATCGTTGTGGGGCACCCAGTTTCCAGTCCCCTCCCCCTATTCTGTGGTGGACAGAGGCCAGTTATTCAGTTATTAAGCATCTTGTAATATGGTGCATAAGGCGCTAATGACAGTAAATGTTCATGGCAGAGAAGAGGAAGCCTTGTTTTTCGTTAAAAATAGTTCTTCCCTGGTATCTCCTAATAATCTTAACTTCTCACGTAGAATTGCCCCTGAGGCATGTGTTGTGCTGGGCCTCTGCCTCAGGCGTCCTTCCAAGATCCAAGAGAAGAATAGAATTTTCCAGAATAAGGAGCTATGTGAATGGAGGGCATCGGTGTTGACTGTAGGCACCATTTAAGCATTATTTTTGCAATGGGGTTGCCATCAACTAGAATGCTTGTACATTTTATGTAATTTTTCCAAGTGCCATTTTTTAAAATTTCATTAAAAGTCTTTATTTAAAGCTTTATGGGTTATTTTTATTTAGAAACATGATAGTCCTTCCAAATAATTATTCTGAAGCCCATTTTAGACCTGATGGAGGCAACAGGCAGTGCCCAACGCAGAGCCTGTCAGACGTCAGTGTGCACGAGTCTCCTGGGGGAGCTGGGCCCGGCGGGGCAGCGGTCCCACATTCCGGCAGGCTTCCCGGTGCGGCAGGTGCCGTTGCCCAGGCCACGCGTGGGAAGCCCCAGGAAGGGAGATTCTGTGGCTGCTTTTCATCTGCCCGGGTGTTTTGTATTGTTTTTAAGAATCTGCAGCATCTGTTTATTTCTCAACAGCTTATTGCCTTCTCCAGTTGGGATGACAGTTCTGCTTGGTCCAATATTTTGTTAAATAGGGCTTGTGGGAAATTTCCTGTCTCCGAGCCTAGAGTTCAGCTCACTCTTTTCCAGAACATTCGAGGCCATAACTGTCTCTCTTAGCTGATGGGTTTATGGTAAAATAAAAGAAACAGTAAATGAAGACTGACATCCTAAATGTGAAGGTGACACTAGATGCCATTCCTCTCCCCTTGGTGTTTGAGGCCCTGGGGGGAAGCTGAGGGTGCTCAGTGATGGTGAATGAGGAACTGGCGAGGGCGGGGGAGGGGGAGCCAGCCTCGCCCCCACCCCAAAGCCAAACGAGGACCCTGGCCCTTTGCTCTGAAGCACTCTTGGTATAAATTAAAACCAAGTAAAATGGTAAACGTTATAAATGTTAAAAAAAAAACTGGTTCAGGATCCCCTTTCATTATAACCCAAAAATAATGGAATGGCCCCCAAACTGTCCCCCTCATAGGCACAGTTAGCAGGCTTAGAGGCCACACTTTTGAAGGAAAAGGCCAAAGCCCCCCCATTGTGTGCACAGGCCCTGGGACGTTCGGTCAGTCTCAGCACCTTCCCCTCCTGGGCAGCAGCCTGCCTGCCCTCTCCTCTGTTTTTTGAAACCCTATTAAAATCATCTCTTTGTTGCTCTTATCTGTAGCTCTCTTGGCTCTAAAAAAGGAGATCAATTGGAGAATTTTTTCCCCCTTCCCAAATCTTTGTTGTTATTTTAGAAAGAAAAGTCCCCTGAGAGAGTTTTCAACTGCAGTTTAGATTGAGAAACCTGAATTCAGTCCCCGCCTCCGACTGACTCCCCTGTCACCGCCGGCAAGTTATTTTTCTTTGCTATTGGCACTTAAATCCAAATGAAAATACTCATCATAAGGAAAGTTAGTGAGAAACGTGTGATTCTTAAGAGAAAGGTATGGTACGTAAAATACCATTCCAACTACCGGTTTCTATTTTATAGTCAATATTCGGGGAAAGTGGAAGTCATTAGAAATTGTAAAATAGTCATTTTCTCAGAAAGCCTGTGTGACCCTGCCCACCGTGAAGACAGTAGGTCATGTAGCTCCATGGCCTGGAGGTGATCGTCGGGAATGATGGCAAGTACGTGGCTGTCTGTGCTCAAGTAGATTTCGTAGATTTGATAACTTCCCCCGTGCTGCCTATCTCTGCATACTGATCATTTCTGCTAGTTTGTTGTGGTTAAATGAGATGCTTCATGAAGAGGGGAAATGTATCCTACACAGGAATATGCAAAAGTATAGATCTAATTCGCCTTGAAAAGCCTTAATTCCCCCCCCCCCCCCCTTAGCAGTACAGTGTTGATGGGTGTGTTTTTCATCCCTGGAAAATAATTCATATGCCAGGAGCTTCATTAGAGGAGCAAATAAAGGTCGATACGGCAGACACCTGGACCTTCAGGCCATTCTGCCTTTAAGATAACTGTAAGTCAGTAACTACAAGTGAAAATTGGGATCGGTGGGGTCCAGTAGTGCTCCCAGTCACTGATTACATTCTGGGTAACTATTAAGCCTGTAACCTTACCATGCAGCAGGTTTGGTTTGGTTTTTCTTTGCCGGCAGGAGTAAGTGAGAGAGTGTGGTCTAGATTTGGGTTCACGCCCACATAGGATGCCTGGGCCTGGCACCTAGTCTTCAGTGATTAAGATGACAGACATTGATGACGATGTCTGTACAATCTTCATAGTTTGCGCCCAATAGTTTGCACAAAGCAAAGACTCAATGGAGCCTTTTGTTATTGGTCACAGATGTGTCGGTGACCGTTTGGAAATGTAGTTGGAAGGCGTTACCACCCTCCCAACTGTGAGGAGGTCCCTTCCTCACTGCTGGAAGCCAGGCAGGGGAGTAAGAAACACCAAGCTGAAAGCCGAGTTGAGTTGCATGAGAAAAACAACAAAGGAAATGTGTACAGTACAGCAGGTCCTCCAATAACGTCACTTTGTTCATAACATTGATGAGATGCCGTAGGAGATTAACTTTTGTTAATACCAATTAGTCTACGGTAAAATTGGTTTTGTCGTATTTTGTTTTGCATAAAGTTGCAGACTCATCGATGATGTTAAGTGAGGACTTACTGTATTAGTTCATAAGGATAATTGTCTTCTGTCATGTTGTCTGGGTTGCCTGTACTTCTGCAATCCTTGTTTTCAGGATATGCACCTCCTGGGTGATACAGAATATGGCTCCATTGAAGTGAGAGCAGCCCCACTATGCTGTGTCTGCCGCTAATGGTGCCTCCGAGGGGATGGGTGGCGTTAATTATCAGTTGGTTGGTTTTGCCTCCTTTTCCCCTCTGGTTTGGTTCAGTTTTTTGTGTGTGCATAGCGTGCTTTTTGAAGAATTTCAACCCTATAACAACAACTTTGATTTCTGTATCATACAATTATATTAACAGGGGGCAGTTATTGAACTAAAGATTGGGCCTACTCTGTTCTTACCAAGTGTCAAATTAGTTTAATACTGAAGACAGCATTTTTTTGTTGTTGTTAATCCTCCCCCGAGGATATTTTTCCATTGATTTTTAGAGAGAGAGGAAGGGTGCGGGAGAGACAGAGGGAGAGAAACATCGATGTGAGAGAGACACATCAGTTGGTTGCCTCCTGCACATGCCCTTGACCGGGAATCACTGGACGCTCTAACCACGGAGCGTGCCGGCCAGGGCAAGACAGCCTTTTTTCCCAACATAATATAGCAAAACTCCATCCTTGTTTCCCACCCTTTCGCATCATCACAGGGTGTCTAAAATTTACACATGGCTTCATTTATTTATTGTTTTATTTATTTTGGCTTCTCAGTTTGAACATCTGTTCTTTCCCTTCACCCCTTTCCAGATGTTCCCTAGCTGTGCTGACCTCTGCACTGTGTAGTGTTGTCATCTGGTGGATTGTTTGTGACTACATTCTTCCCATCCTGCTATTCTGTCTCGATGGTTTAAGAGCACAGTAGCCATCGGACCCTTTGACAAATAGCTGCTGTGTAAGTGTCCCACCCATTTCTCTACTAGCTCACTGCTGCCGTTTCCCATGATGCATGTTTTTGTCGCTAGCAGCTCTCCTCGCTTTATTGATTTGCCTTTTCTCAAAGGTCCTTTTTCGAAAACTCAACTCATGGTGTGGTGTCAGGGAGGGGGGCCCTTCACTATTCTTTTCATACAAGGGACATTAAAAACAACACACTTTGATTTTTTTGTTGTTTTTTTTTAATGTTTTTATTTATTTCAGAGAAGGGGAGAGGGAGAAATAGAAACATCACTGATGAGAGAGAATCATCAATAGGCTGCCTCCTGCACGGCCCCTTCTGGGGATCGAGCCCGCCCCCCGGGCATGTGCCCTGAATGGGAATCGATCTGCGATCCTTGGCTCCTGAGTCGATGCTCAGCCACTGGCTTTGTGTCTAAGTTGTGCTGACTCTTAACAGATTTCTTGAAGTAGCAATTTCTTTCCCTCTTAAAACTATTTAGTTACTTTGGGGTGCTTTTCTTTCCATTACTCGTCTGTACAACTTTTCTCTAATTTCTAGAGTAAATATTTTTAGCATATCCTTTCCAATCTAGCAGAAGTAAGTTTCGCACTGATTTTCTTCTGTTGGTAAAGATCGGGCTTTGTAGCCGGGAGGTCTCGAGGCCGTGTACACAGCCTCTCGGAGCAGCTGCTTCCCCGCAAGTCTCTGTCTTGAGTTTGCGGAGCTCTCTCCTCGACCTCGCTTCCCTGCCTCCCCTCACAGTCACGTGCAGTGTTCAGAACTGGATGTTGGACGGAGGGAAGCAGAGAAGACTGGAGTCTTGTCTATGTTTGTGTTTCTGCATGACCAGCGCTGCTCCTGCCTTCCTTCTTTCCCCGAAAGCAGCCAAAATGCCTTTCTTAGGGGGACATGGACAGACTCTGTGTTCTCTGGACACCTTTCACCCTTAAATGAACACCGTGCCCGAGAAGAGACGTCTTTCCTGCAGAAGAACGTGCACGAGCTCACCGGGATCTCCAGCCCAGACCCAGCGCAGGCCCGCGGTGCCCTGGCGGCTGCCGAGACCGCGCCCTCTCCCGTCTAGGCCGCCTTCCTTATTCTCTGACATTTTTTCTTTAGCTCATTCAAGGATTTCTCTTCTTGTTCCAACTGGGACCTGGGAGTTTTATTAAGAAATACAAAAGTTCCTGCTAGGACTTCCACCAAAGTAAAATTTCATGGCAACCACCACTCGTGTTTTATGGTTTCATTGAGTGTCTTCAGATGGTGGGGAAGGACTGTGAAACCTAGCAGACTTCATTCTTTTCAAAATTAAGGAAAAGCTGCTTAACGTGTTTCTATTTGTGACCTTTTCTTAAAGTGTGTCATTAAATACGAACTTGTCGCATAGGCTGACACACTGTTTCCAATATAGACGGCCCTTCCCGGTGGTTTTCCAGCGGCAAAGCTGTCTTGAATAGATGAGCTCCAAATGGGTGGCGGCGCTGCTAATAGTACTCAGGTGCTTTGATTGTTTATTTTCCCAGGATAACTTTTAAATGGGCTCCATGAGGCTCTCTTCTTTTTACCATCTAGGAAGGTGTAACCTTTCTCTGTTATTACTAACACTCGCCATTGCACTAGACCCGCAGCAGAGTATCCATTCAGCCTGATTGATTAATTTGGAATTTACAGAAATCAAAGCTTTCAAGGGTAACGATGGGTAAACAATAGAGTCCTCGTAGTTGTCTTTGAGGCAATTGCTCGTGGGCACAGTTGGTGGCGTGCCTGGAGCTGGCGACGCCAAGAACCCCCCCCCCCCCCACCCCCGATTGCTGCGTCAGACTCTTAGTGGGAAGATGCGTCTGGAGTTGCAGGGCTCCGGCCCATCATTTCGAAAGCTCGTTTGGCATCCGTGGTCGACAGCCAGTGTAAATAGTACATAGCTGCACTGATGGACTCTTTTCTTGGAATTGAATGTTTATGTTCAAGGCACTTTTGTGGCTTGATAGTTTTTACTTTACAATATTCCTCAAGTTGCAGATGTCATGTCCAAACTTGGGGAATATTGGGGCTCGGCAGATCCCATAGAGAAGAAAGGGAACTGCAGTGTGGGCCAGAGAGGCTTCTGCTGGGGAGGGGGGCGATGGGGGGAGAAGGTGCATGTGCTGCCTGTTGCTCTGCAAGGTCACGTGATTGGTTTGAAGGTGGGAATGGTTCCTTCTCGCTTAGCTTGGCAGTCTGCCAGCTTATCCCCTGCCAGGTGGTACTGGAGGCTCTCACAGGTAATATCTAAGCGCAGTTGCTGGGTTTTTCCCTCCTCATTGATGCATAATCTACAGATGTAAGAGCTGCTCTATTGTTAATGCAAATAGCTGGTGGCCCGAATCTTTATTAGTGTGACTAATGCATTCTAAATGTCTACCATGCTCTATTTCAAAGTTCCACATCAGTTATTAATATTATTATATTAATTCACATTAATTGTTTACACTAATTTGATAGATACTTTAAAATACCTTTTAAAAAACAAAAAACTTCCCTATCAGCCTAAAATTTGATTTAGCGGTTATTTCTTGTCTTGAATAGTATTGTCAATTTAAGAAATCAGATCTCAAATTTCCTAAGCAGGCGATGCATTGGCCCGTGTTTTCCTCACATTAACAATTGGACGGTGTGGTGGTTGTCCATACTTTGGGCTGTAAGTGGCCTCATTTGAGGAGTTGGTGTCTCACTTTCTCCGTTTGTGGAAATGGAGATAAACCGCCTTGCTCGGCGAGCGCCCTGGGCCTGGGCTCAGAAACGGCAGCGGGAGCACCCTTGGCTGCTTTTTGTTGTTTTATTTTTTCTTTATGAAAAATTCTTGATTCTAGATTCACATCTTTGACAGACACTCCTTTATGTAATCAGAAAAACTTTAAATAAATCCTTTGTTTTCAGGCATAGAATTCATGTGCCAGGGCAGTGGGTGTCTTTAATCGCACAACTGTGTCTGCATATGCCAGCACAGTCAACATTTAGGACAGTGATGGCGAACCTTTTGAGCTCGGCGTGTCAACATTTTGAAAAACCCTAACTTAACTCTGGTGCCATGTCACATATAGAAATTTTTTGATATTTGCAACCATAGTAAAACAAAGACTTATATTTTTGATACTTATTTTATATATTTAAATGCTATTTAACAAGGAAAAATCAACCAAAAAAATGAGTTCGCGTGTCAGAGGTGCGCCATCACTGATTTAGGAGGTAAAACTTTACGAGAAGTCCTGAGTCCAGCATTGGCTCATTGGCGAGGATCAGTTTCCCTCAGTAAGATCGGGGGGGGGGGGGGGGTGTCTCATGAGGCTTTCAGAAACCCTCGATGGACAGCAGCCCGGGGACCACTAGTTTGTTGGAATGGTTTCTTTTTTTAAAATATATGTTTTTTAAATTGACTTTAGAGAGAGAAAGGGAAAGAGTGAGTTAGAAACAACGATGAGAGAGAAACATTGATCGGCTGCCTCCCGCACGCCCCTGACCAGGGATGGAGCCTGCAACCTGGGCATGTGCTCTGACCGGGAACCAGCGACCTCTTGGTTCGTGGGCCAGTGCTCAGCCACGGAGCCACACCGGCCGGGCTGGTATGGTTTCTTTTCACTCTTAAGAGCTGGGTCCAAGTCCGTTGTTATTGGCTGTGTTATTTATGTTTGCATATGAGAGCAGGAAGGTTTTTCAAGCCAGTGTTTTCTCTTAGAAATAACATTGAGTACTTTTCCTAAATGTGGGGGCATACATTTGAGCATTTCAGTCTCTTGAAGAAAAGGAATGTGTATAAAGTCTTTTGATTTTTTCCCTGTGACAACTGAGTGAGGAATACAAAAACACCCCCCACTTGCACGGAGGCTTGATCTCAGGGAGTTCTTTCTCATTCATGAATTTGCCTCCGTATAACTTACCCCCGTAGCATCGCCTCCTGGAGGTTCTCATAGTTTAATTAAATCAAGTATCACAGAATTCAGGCAGTTTCACTTTCTTGTTAATGGTCCTTGGTGATTTAGTAAGTAGTTGTAATCCGAATAAAACTCACATATTGCTTGAACATGGTTTTAAAATGTGAAGTCTTATGTGAAATTGGTATTGATTCCGGGTTTTTATTGCCCTTACTCTCAGCTCTGAGGAGTGAATATTGTCTAGATATTTATATTCACGTTCTATAGAATTTGGGGGGTTTAAATGATTTCTTGTTTTCATGACAGGAATTCTGAGGATTTACTTTTACTTGGGACACAAACATTTGCTTTGCTGATTGATTCTTTGGTGTGGGGCTTGTTGAAATGCCAGGTCACTCGTTTATCTTTGTGTGGCTAACCTTCATAAGGAAATGAGATGCTTCATTTCAAAAGACCTCGATGTAAACATGTGTTTGTGGAAAATCCTACCAATTCTCCATCAGATAATTTGCACTCAGGTGCAACAATGCCTTCCTGTGTCAAGTATTTGGAAATTGTTCAGTGATATAATCTTATTTTTTCCAACTGTTTTCAGAGTAATTCTTCAGTCCAGTGTTCAGAGCTGTAACACATCTGAACCTAGCCTTTCTGGCAGTGCAGGCATTGCTAAGAGAACCACCCGATCTGCTTCAAGGAAAAGCAGTTTTAAAAGGTGAGAAAAGAATCCGAGTCTTCTGAAAAGTTCCAGGCATTGTGTCCAGTTTCACCTTCTGGGGACAGGAATGAAGAGAGGCAAAGGCAGAGGCCCTGTGATGGGGAATTCATCAAATGTGTTTGAGGTGTTGGTCATCCAAGGAAATCTGGACCATTTTAATGCAGGATTTTGTTTAGTTTTGTTTTTCAAAAACGATGTTCAACCCTGGAGATGTGGTCTCTGGGTCATAATGTGGGCAAGCTGAGCCTGTTGTAAGTTCTCAATTAAGAATTCCCAAGGCTCCCTGCCAGGACTCGGGGGACCCTCTCTGTGCCGGTGCTGCAGGATTGTTGGAGAGCTCGCTGCACGTAAGTGTGGTGGACACGCGAGCTTAGTGGGGCTGCGATCCCTCGTGACTCGGGGACTGACCTTGGCCACAGTCCACAGCCACGCGGCTCCTCTTTTCCTCTGAGCCCTGCGTCTTCCCCTCATTACTGAAGGGAGAGGGGGCATGTTCTGCAGCCGCATCCGCTACTCACTGTTGCCTCAGGAGCTCTGTCATGACCGTATCCTATGAACAGGTCCCTCTGGGGGAGGAGCAGGCAGCCCACGGCGTCCTCCCTGGAGCGGAAGGCAGGCAGCTCCGGTGACGTAGCCTGGAGGGGGCAGCCGTGGCCCTGTCCTGGTGCGCTCCTGGCACAGCGAATCCCTCTAACAGGTCACCGGCTTCCCTACCACGTCCTGCACAGATGTCGTGCTTCTTCTTCATTGTTCTGCCCCGGGGTGGGGTTTGGGCCCGAGGGGCCCGTCCGAGGTGCTGAGCGAGGCTCTGGGTGGCGCAGCCGTCGGGTGCTGAGCACTGGCTGGCGACCAGCCGCTCCATGTGTGTTCCTTCTTAAAGGAATTGTTCAGCTCTACCATCTTCGTCTTTGCTGGTCCCTTTAGACAGTTTTCCTGCGTGCTTTTACCATATGAGAATGTGATGGTGCCCCGTACAAGTGTTTGAGAATTGGGCACTGGCTCATGATTTTAGGATTTAAAGTTTTTCATCAGAAAGTTATCAAATATTCATACTAATTCTACATAAGAAGAATATTAGAGAATTACTGACCAAATCCAAAGACTTAAGTACATTATAAAAGCAAAATGTTATTTATATAACAGTAAGAAGGAGGAAATGGTCTAAAGACTGATGAATTATACCAAATGAATATCTAGAATCATGTTTTTAAAGAAAATTTAATGATCTGGATAAATGCTCATGAAGCGATAAATGAAAAGAGCTGTGCACAATTATGAATTATTCAATTTTATAAATGTACGATATACTTTATGTGTATAGAAATCTATAGATGTATAAATATTTACAAACAAATATTTATAAATGTTTATATTTCCATTTGTGTATTTTGAAATAACATATAGGAAAATATGCCAAGATATTACCAGTTAGGACAGTTGAGGATTTTTTTTTTTTTAATCATTTGCTTTTTTCCGAACTTTTCTACAGTGAATGGAGTGAAATGGGAGTGTTTTAACTTGGACACTTTCAGGTGAATTAACTGTTAAAAGTTCAAATAGGGAGCTGTTGGTGGTAGTTGGACATGTTCGAATGGCCGTGCTCTCTGCGGGTCGTGGCTCAGGATCCCTCGCCGCCCGGGTGCCGGGCACCTTCACTCGGCTCCTTTGGATTGTGCGCTGCGGGCCTCAGGGACGGAGTCCAGGAGCCGGGGCGGGGTGCGCCCTGCCACCCTCTCCGCTGAGGGCGTGGCCAGTGACCTAAACGTGTGCTTCTCACAGAGGTGCTGCCTGTGCAGTGAGCACCTCCCCAGTCCCTGGACCGAGGCTCGGAGGGTCTGAGGTCGAGTTCAGACCGAGGTGCCTGACTTACCATTGAAATGGCCCAAGGCCGTGTCCAGGCACCAGGGAGAGCGCTGAAAAGCACAAAGGCTTCTTTTAAGTTTCTGAAATGGACTTTCCAGATTGGGAGGGGCAGGGAAGGGAACCAGTGAGGGTGCACTGGGGTTCGCTGTGTTCCACCACCCCCTTTAGCGGGGTCTCCTTGCCCTCCTGCAGGGCGTGGGCTGGTGCTAGGTCACCTTGTGAGTCCCCTGCTCACCAAAGAAGGACAAATACATCATGTGCAGGTCCCACTCCCAGCTTCCAGGAAGCGATGGCAGCCGAGCTACAGCCGGAAGCTTTACCTACTGAATAGTGTCAGCTTCTGATTGGAGGATGGTGAAGGAATTGATACATTTGTATGTAATCCGATTTAGGACAGAATAATATGAGCTGAGAAGATTCTTTCCTTAGACAACAATATGAAAAGAATAGCACACTCCGGTGCCCGCGGCCCAGGAGCCTGCCTTCTCTCCTGCAGGTCTGTGCTGTTCACGCCGTCCCAGCAGCAGGAGCTTGACTCCGTTCCCGCGTTCTGTTCTGTTCTGTTCTCTTCTGTTCTTAGAGGTTCTGGAGGAGACCTCCCCACACGCACTGCCCACTGCTGCGGCTCTCTTTACTGAGAGTCTCCACAACTCGGGAGAATTTCCCACAAACATGTTAAAGGAGCAGATACCTGACATCCCCATCCTTAGAGCGCTCTGCACCTCGCCTCCTGTCAGAGCTAGAAACCACCTTCACGTCGCTCTTAAATGCAGTGAAGAGTTGGTCCGTTCTCCAGGGCCTCGCATTAACTCGCTGGAGGCCTCCCGGAGGGTCTGGAGAAGGTGGTCACCTGCGTCGCGTGAGGCTGCACGGCTCGCCCACTGGGTGCGTGCTTCCAGCAGCTGACGCTCTTTCTTTGTGGCAGTCTTTTTCTTTTCTTTTTTTAAATCATAACTTCATCCATTTTCCAAGAAAACTGCAGATGCACAAGGGGTTTTCTATTCCAGGTTGCATCCTTGGGGACCATCACTCTCTGCTCCACCTGCCAAACCTACCGAATGCTCATTGCTCTGGGGGACCCTGGGCCCCAACATCCTGCCGCGAGGGCTCCTCCCTCGGCCCTGAAACCGTGCTCTTCACCGCCCTTCGCGGGAGGGCTTCCTCTTGCCTTTTGGCTTAAGTCTTCTCATTTGTGACTCTTGCCATCGTCACACCTGTCCCTGCTTCTGGTCCGTTAGCGTCTCAGGTCCCAGTGACTGTTCACCACCTCGGGGCTTTCATTTTTTATGACCACCATCATCTCCACACGTGCATCCGTGTAGAAGGCCAGAGTGTTATGTCTCAATGTTCTTGTGTGTAAATGCTGGTGACCCTTTTAAGACATTAATCTCCCTTTGAAATTCCAGATGCTTTCCCCTTGCGAGCAGCCCTGGACCTTCCTCCTCAGCTCTGCGCTGCCGTCTGGTCTCTGAGAACCCTGACGGGTGTGCGTGAGCTGCTCTGGTAGAGTCGGCCTCCAGTTCAGAATTGGTTTTTCTGACTCTGCTTTTGCGTTAGTTTTTCTCTGAAAGCTGCTATTTAGCTGAAGGTAATAAATTGTGGGAGGAAGCTAGGGAGGTAGCGTGAGGATGAATCAAGGGCAGTGACTGAGGGGCAGCCGGGGTGGTTCTGGCGCCGGTGCCAGGTGGCCCCTGGGGGCTGCACTGCGCTGGGCTGAGCTGGAAGCTGCCTGTGGCGCCCACCGTTCTGTGACCGAATCCCGGCTTTGGGAATAACCGAGTAACACTTCTTTATCTTTTCGCTCTTTTCGCTCTTCCCACAGCCTGGTTCCTCAGAGGGAAAGAAGGAAAGGAGTGCTTTGCAGCAAAATGCCCCTAAG